CCTTCCTGGTGGATAGGGCAGGTGAAAGCGACTAATAAGGCTGGATAGCAGGGCAAGAGGAGCATGATGATGTACAACAAGTATCCATAAAAGGAAAACGATTAGGGTCAATATATGAAAAGTGGTAAATAGCGAGGGATTTAAAGTTAAATATTTCAAAATTCAAGGACGGTATTTATAATTTCTAAAAGAGGTCTTTTCAAATGATCTCTTGCCAGCGAACGCATCTCCAAACTTAAAGATGTTTTGTTTTAAAACTGTGGATGGTTGGTTACTTGGTTTTGTTTGTTACATTGAATGGAATAAGTTGTTTTTTGGAAAAATGGCTAAGGTAACGCTTTCTTTTTTGTTCAAATTTAACAATCGACCATAAATTTTTTTAAATATTTTCAAATGTTATTATCGTGATTGACAAAGTCGGTGTCAAAAGTAAAATTTGAACATATTTAACAAGTTTTACAGTCAAATATGTATATATATTTTTCTCTTAAATATAAAAATCTCCTAAATCATTTTTTTTTTTGTATATCAGCTCCTTTTTGGGTATATTTTGAAAACAACCATCAAACTATAATCTTGTATTTTCAAAGTAAACGGGACAGTGAATTGTGGCTCATCTCACATAAATTTGAAGTATATTATATATTATATTATAACCCGTGAGAATTACGGTTATAAAATTAATTAAATTTTTATAGTAAAACTTAAAATTATTAATCAATTATTTTAAATAAATTATTATATAAGAAATGTTTTTATTAGTTATATGAAATTATTATCGTTGATTCAAATAAATATGTAAAATTAATTTTTATTTGTGAATTAATGAAAACAATAATATAAAATTTAAATTTAAAATAGAGAATAAGTACATTGACAAATAATCACATTAATGATGATGTCTAATAAATTTAAAATAGAAAACTAATAGATTGACAAATAACAATATTTATTAATAGTTTAATATGATAACACATGATAAAAAAACTACTTTTTTATTAGTATAGAGATATTGAATTTATATTTTTTTTAATATAAAAAAGATTACGACGGTGAAGCGTGACATTACTCATCCCATTCAAAACTTAAATCAATAAAGGAAATAATTTAGGTGTTCATGCACGTCCATTAAAGAATTTGGACAAGAATCTTTTGAATAAACCAAATTGCATTATAGTCTTCAAAGTGAATTCATTGTTCATCATGTTTGCATATTAATATTTTTATTATTATTTAAATTAATTAATTATTTCCAATTTAAATGAAAATTTTACTTTAAAATCATAAATTATTACGTTTGTTACTATTTAAAGTGTTTTACTACTTGTGTATGATTTATAAATTGTTTGATCTACATTAAAACAAAATCATGACCACACCACTATATAATGGATTTTATATATATATATATATATATATATATATATATATATATATATATATATATATATATATATATATATATATATATATATATGAATATCGGCAGAAAACTCATAGTTTTCCGAAAATCCGAGAACTAAAAGTGAAGAGTTTGATCAAAAGTAAAGCATTAAGAACACAATCGTCATCTTATCGATCCCATTTAACGTTTAATTTTTTATGTTATTTAATATATTAATATACATCATAAATCAAATTTTCAGATTTTTTTAAATTTAGTGTTTTCCGTTTTTTCTAAAAGAAAATACAGATTTTTTAATTTTTTATAGAAAACATGAATTTTTGAAAAAAATATTGAAAAAAATATTTTAAAAAAATTGTAATTTTTTCAAAAAAATTGTAATTTTAAAAAACGTCATTTTTTAATCAAAAAAATTGCATTTTTTTTTCAAAAAGATTGCATTTTTTTTCAAAAACAACTGCAATTTTTTTAAAGAAAACTGCATTTTTTATTTAAAAAAAAACATTTTAAAATATAAAAAAAAAACTACATTTTTTTCAAAAAAAACTAAAAGCTTTTTAAAGAAAGTTACATTTTTTTCAAAAAAAAAAAACTGCAAATAAAAAAACAACATTTTTTTAAAAGTAATTTTTTTTAAAAGTAAAAGTTTTAGGTGCATATCTACATATTTTTTTCAAATGCATATCTGTATACTTCTTATACTATAATATTCATAAGTAAATCACAAAAAAAATCTCATTTTTATTAAGTAATCTATAAACATAATAGTACAAATATTTTTTTCCGATACAAAATAAAATATAAAATATAAAATATGCTACAAATTTCAAATCGTTTTCATATCTTCGTGTAAATATTTCTTTATTTTTTTCAATTTATCATTTTTCACATCTTCAATATTCACTACAATTTCTTCCAAATCTATAAGAAAATTAAAAAAAAAAAAAACAATTGATGCAAAAACACTCACAAAAATACATATGTGATTTTCATATGATTAACATATAAATCACATGTGACTCACATATGAATCACTTACGATTCCCATATGAATCACATTTACATATGACATCATATGTAAATGTGATTCACATGTGAATCGCATGTGATTCACATATGAATCACATGTAAAGCATATGTGAATTATATGTGAATCATATGTGAATCAAATGTGATTTACATGTGAATCAAATGTGATTTACATGTGAATCAAATGTGATTAATATGTGAATTACATGTGATTAACATATGAATATGTGCACATATACGTAATTCATATGTAATTCACTTGTGATTTACATGTGAATCACATATCATTCATATATGATTTACATGTGATTAATATGTGAATCACATGAGATTTACATGTGAATCACATGTGATTTACATATGAATCACATGTAAAATTCAAATATATCACTTCATTATCCTCAAAAACTTTCATTGTTGTAACAAAATAGAATATGATTCTTTTAGTTATATCGTAATAACATGAATATGGGGAACTTTGGAGTCACATCGATTCATGATTTATTTAACGGATGAAACAAGATACAAATCCATTTACATAATAGTTGATTGATACAATCGAATCTGTGTACAACTTCATTTGGATACCCGAAGCTTTCAACTCCAATAAACCATCAAATTCCAAAGTACTTAAACTCCATCTACATTGCCTTCTAAAGTAAAAAAGAAGCACTAGTTGATTCGAATGAAGCCAATTATTATGTAGGTGTAGAGAAATCCAATTACTACAACAACATCTGGATTAACAGGAGCACGACCTTTCCACCAACCAATACTCAGTATCAAGTGTACATGGTTGAATGCCCATTTTGCTATCATATTTGATCTCTGATCAACTAATAACTCTTATCATTTTTGCCTTTATTATGTAAACCCGAAGAGAAATATTACCTCAAACAGGTGATCTAAGAAGAAGTGGGATAAAGAACCAGCTGATATGAGCACGAAACATTAGTTCAAGGTAAGGGGGATCTGCATCAAAGCATCAGAAACAATGAAAATATTGTAAGTGCTCATTGAATTTTAGGGCACAAAACATTTGGAACTATACTGCTGTAATATATGATGAAGACAATAATCGATAAAGTGAAAACGAGAATGCAAGTTAGAGAAAATGTCACTTGATGTATTCCAATTTTTGCAAAAGAATGATCTCTATATGATATCACTTCTTCTGAGCTCAAAAGAACCCAAAACCCTCTAAGGCATTTCATCGACACTACTAGAAAAACAACCTTTTACGACGCTCATTGCGCGTCGTAAAAGGCTCAGATGACGCGCAAATGCGCGTCAAGGAAGGCCCTGTCATAAAGAGAAACGACGCGCTTTTGCGCGTCGTCTATAGACGACGCGCATTTACGACGCTCATTTACGACGCTCAATTACGTCGCGCATTTACGACATGCAATGCGTATCAAGGAAGGCCCTGTCATAAAGGAAGACGACACGCATTCGCGTGTCGTAACCTTACGACGCGCGTGTTAATGACACGCAATGCGTATCAAGAAAGCCCCTGTCAAGAAAGGCCATGTCATAAATGAAGATGACACACATTTTTGCGTATCATAATTTTAAATGTTTTAAAAAAATATTATATTATTGATTTACTAATTTTCAAATTAAATAATACATTAAAAATCTCATAATACAAAATAAAATACGATAAATAACAAAGATAATTCATTTCACTAATATGTCAAATACAAATAATTATTCCAATATTGAGTAATTGTAATAAAAGAAATGAACTCAAGAGAAGTAGAATTTATATACAATCGCATTATCTAGCTTACTATGTACTAACAACTCTCTGTGTGTTTGCTTTTTCTTGAGTCTTGTTTCCTCCAAAGCTTCTAGCCATGCCAAAGTATGAGTCTTGCTTTTGCTTGAGTCTTGTTCATGTCCAAATCAAGTAAAACATTGCTAACTTATATTCATCAAGTCCTTACCTTCCTGGAACTGAATTGAAGTCACCACAGACGAACATTGGAATATCTGAACTTGCAATTATCTTTTTCAATCCTTTTAACAGTGTGTGAACCTTCAATTTTCACATTTATATAGTTTTTAAGTTATTAAACATGAAGAAAAAGTGTATATATACAAACAACAAGAGATACTTATCTTCTTTGTTTTCATTTCTCTTCGACAAAATCTACACTAAAAGAAATGTGCGCATGTATGTTAATGTCAAAATTCCTATGAGGGCAAAATGGTCATAATAATTCGGAACAATCTGGAAGAGTATTTTTGTTCGAGTGGAAAGTGAATCTTGATTTTATACATACATACATACATACATACATATATATATATATATATATATATATATATATATATATATATATATATACATACACACACACAACACAATATCAATGTATGTCAGTGTGTGTGTGCTAACAACCGAGAAGCTAAAGAGCTTCCTAAAATGGAAGATAACATGAAAGTAGCAAAAATGAAACCATGTGGAATGTCTTTACCATTTGGGCTTAAAGCAGGTGTCCATAGAAACAAAAAGTGTACATTGAACCCTCGAATAAAGATTGTATTGCACCCAATAATGCTATCTTTTCATCTGTTTTTACACCAAAAAAGAAACTATTAGGTCCAAATTTAGAAGGTAGAATGATATGTATGCATAATTACAAGATTGCCACTTTGGATTCTTCATGCTTCTCCTGTATATGCATTAGAACCATAGACAATATAAAGGGTGTATTTAGAAATGTAATATTATATCTCACCTTGTTGTGTTCAGCAACAAGCCATGATTCGAAGGCTGAAAAGAGGAGAGAGGTGGCAATCCCTCTCAATATACGCCCCACCATTAGAATTATGTACTGAGGTGAATGCTTGGTGATGCAATTTAGAATGTAGGTTATGCAGTAAGTAATTGAAGCTCTTTTTGCTTCTCCTTCTCCTTTAGAATGTAGGTGACAATCCCTACTCAATTTCTCCCTGACAGTTGATCCACGGTGTTTTTTTACTCGCATATCAGACTGTCATCAGAAGAAGTATCTTTCTTCACAGTTTTTTTTCTTTTTACCTATAAAGAAACAAAGGTATCAGTTCAGCAACAAACTTTCACTTTTTGACTCATTTAGTCCCTAATCGGTTTTTTGAATTCAATTAGAGTACACTTAAAAACAAATTTAGTGGCCTACTGAGTCCAAAAAATGATTATGTACTTGTAAGGTACAGTGGCTGAATAAATAATGATGCTTTCCTGTTTGTTTTTCAGAGTAAATAAGCCAAACTGTCTGTACGTGACAAAATGACCATTTTACCATTTCGTTTATGAATAATACAAACACAAGTGTTCATATGTAAAACATGGTTTCAGGAAAATGACATGGAAGGTTCAGCTATCTAAGAGCTGCAAAAGAGACTGAATATTTCTGTTTCGTTTTCTGGTCATAATCTGCAAATTGTTCATGAATCAGAAGATAAAGAATTTCTTGAACTGGCATCAAGGATAAATGGAAATAAATCATTCAATAATAAACAGGTCAGATATCTTTATTTAGTTATTTTATTTCTCTTTTTGCCATATGTGACTGAAATATATTATATTATTATACATAAAACTCACTACAGGCTGTTAATGCACTCCGTGAACATTGGCAAAATTCTTCCCCAAAATCAATACCTCTAAAGGAGCTTAACCCCTAAACAGGTAAGAAAGTCTCCAATATAGATTATTTCTTATATGAAAAAGAGAAAAACAGCACCAATACAAATAGAACCCAGTCATGTAAGTCCACTCTGATAGAAACCTGTCATTTAAAGGTTCTTCATGTTTCCAATGACTATGTTTGATAAAAAAAAATGAAAATGAACAGAAAGACTTCCTAATGATAATAATGAGGGTAAATTGATAATTTAAACTCAAAATGCTGCATTTCGCATAGGGCATCCAATTTGGAAATTTGTTCAATTATTGTGGGATGGAAACAATCAAACAACGTATATTTTATTGATATTATGTTGATAAGTTGCAAGTCTTCTATGTTACCTATTTTAACAGAAGATCTAAGGAAGACTGAATATACTTACTGTACAAACCAAAGTAATAGGAAGGACAATGCAGAGGAAGTCGATTATTCGTCCTCAAAATCCCTCTTTTCTGTCAAATAAAATTACATGAATATGTCAAGGACAACATTAATAAACACCTATTAAATTGCAAGGGAAAATGATAGACCCTTGTTGAATCTATCATAAACTCCAGGCATTTTAACCCCTGATCTAATTACGTGATGATATTAAGATAATTCCCAGCTTTCGAGATGTGGGTATCTCCAAGAAAGAACAAAGTTCAATTCATAATAATTCTTCGCTATCTCACTCCTATTACTAACTACTATATATATACTGCTACTACTAAAGAAAAGGACAAAAGGGAATAACAGCTAGCAAGGTGATATCACCACTACTTTGTCTCACCACTAACTCTAAACTGTTAAAATAAATAAAAGACCAAACTGCCCTCCATACACCAATTCTGGAAGTAGGCTGCAGAAGATTAGACTTTGGGTTTCCAAGCCCTTATACCATAAACTAATAGTCCATGGGGCTTATCAGAAAAGAATAACAAAAAAGAAAACCCCACAAACCTCTGGGTATGTGTTGCGTCGCCTCAAATTTGCAAGAGCAGAAGCAACCTGATTAAGATTATATGTTAAAATTAAGTTGTAATTTGTAAATATATATGATAATAATTATTTATGAAATAAATGATACCTGATCACTAGCTTCTTTGAGCTGTAATAGTACCATTGCATATTCCTTTTTGAAGCTTTCGGATACATTCATGGGGACACCTGTCTCGTTTTTACTCAATGAGAGTGCATGTATATCGGTTTCTCTTGCCTGAATTTGAGAGGCTGCTGCATGCTGATGCTGTGAGATAATAACATTGTCTGCAGCTTTAAGAGGTGCACCAGACCGATTTTGTCCCTAAACAACGTATAATTTTTAATTTTATTAACATATGTTCGGGTATTTTTTTTTCCAAAAAAAAATTTAAGAAAACTAACCAGTCGATGGAGACCGGGTTCTCAATTATACCCAACACACATGAACCTTCACATGGAACGGGGCAAACCTTGCCCGTGAACTCTGGGAAGTTATTTGTTTCAAGAAGTCGATCCAATGCCTCACGTCATCTGTTGTGGTCGGGTCGCCCGATGTTTGACCGCATCAGTGACTCTTGATGGTGGGTCGCCTGTTCGGCATTTTCATCCTCCTTCACCTAAAAATCGAAATTAAACAAAATTACTATTTTACCCCTCAAAAAATTCTAAAGCATTATAAATAAAAAAAAGATATGATTCTCACCTGATTAACAGTGTCAATCAACTGATTAACTGTCTCAGTCAGTGACTTGGCTGCCAGCTTCTTAAGATCCTCAAAAGCATCTTTCTCCTTCAACACATCTTCCTCACGAATGTCAGCTTCTTCAGCAGCCAAATCAACTTTTTTTTAGTTCTTTTCTATGGATTTTGACCATTTTCAACTCGACCCACTAACACCTAATAACTTTGACTTGTGGAGAGAAAACCCATGCTTTAACCTTGTATAGATCATCTCTCGCTTTCTTGAAACAAGCAGCTTGGGACTGGAACAACAATCAAATCAAAATTTCTCAAACAAATAAAATATAGGGTTTAGAGCTCATTTAGAGCCAACTGATATGAAGGAAAAAAAACCTCATGATACAGATATGCCTTGACCCCCTTTAGCCCATGCCACATTACAGACCCAATCAGCTTGTGGCTTACTACAGAGAGAACCTAAATTCAAATCTCTAACACATAATTTGAAGAAATTGTTGTCTTTGTCATACATGATGTATGCAATGAATCGATGACCAGGTGAGACTTCTGCTACCTCTTCATATGCATAACCTAAATGAAGTCATGTTAATAGATTAAATGAAGTGGAAGAGAATTAGAGATCATTGAAAGATGTTGAAATGATACTGGAATTGGAATTACCCCAAATCTTTCTGCTTCTTGATTATAATCGATGAGTTTTTGTTCAATCCTCTTCCTGGAGATGAAATCGAACCCACCTGTTGGACTTTTATGTGAAATGAACTCTTCGTTTAGGCTAGCTAATCTCCTACAGAGTAATGGATATTGTTTCCCTTCCTCTACTCTCCTGTAATACAACCTGAATTTCACCTCCAAATTGCCAAAGAAGAACACGGAATTTGAATTCGGATCCAAAAGAAATCAACAAGCATTAGATGAAGTGCAATTTGAAATTGATGGTACCAGGGCCCCCAGCGAAATGGAGGAGTGGAGAGCTGAGAAGACATGCGAGATGCTATTTTTTGATTGGAGTTTGGATTGAAGGCGATCGGAGTCTGCTAAAATAGCTTCAATCGAATGGCGCTGATGTAAGGAGTCACATAACCTTCAATCGAAGGTGTTTTGCGTGAGAGGAGCTGTTGGATCTCTCTGAACAATTTATTGAGAAGTGGTTCAAAGCCCTAGTTCTTTTCGTCGAATGGCGCTGATGGAAAGCATATGGAGACTTGCGACATAGTGGATAGAGAAGATTAGTGTCTGATGGCGCTGATAAAAACATACGAGACAAACACTCTTTATAGATTCCATGGCCGCTTAGAGCTGATGGGTTTCGATGCTGGTGATGGCGGCTTAGGGCTTGAAAAGAGAAGGGAGAGAGAGTGCAGATCAAGGTACAGGAAGACGAGTTGCTTTAAAAGGATTGCAGATGGTGGTGTGGGGGTCATCGGTTGCTTTACAGAGAGATATGAAGTCGAGACGAAAAGACGAGATTGACCCATCTGGTAATAAACGGACTTGGGAAGCTGAACAAAATGACCCAAGATTGACCCATCTAGTAACAACGCTATTGATGCCATTCCTTCCATTTTCGACTGTTCATCCTCCACTTCCTCTACTGCTACTTCTTCACCATCTTCTATTTTTTCTGTATTTAGACTTGAGAGTATAATTAGGGCTTTTTCTAACAATTTCAACATCGAGTGGGAGATATGGTGGTTCCCGTAGGTAGAAGTGAGGGAAGAAGTAGGCAACAGTCAATGTGGGAAGGGGGAAGGAAGGGGCGTCCATAATTTGGGCAAGAGGGAAAGGAGAAAAAATAGGAAGGCGGGATTTTTAATTTTTTCAGAATTTCATTTCCCCCTACTGTTAAAGGATGGAACGCGCGTTCCATTAAAAATTATAAAGCGACATCCTTAGACGACGCGCATTTTATTATAGGTGCCTCCGTGTTTTTTTAGACACTAATTTAAGGGCGCGCAATAATGCGTGTCTTCTATCCTTAAATTT